TATTGCTTTCTGTAGACTTAATTTCCAAACTCTCGTCAATACGGACAATACACCGACGCGAAGCATATATAGACCTGTCTCCTCCAGCTTCTTCAGGTTCTTCTTCATGGTTTCCGGTAGAGTCTTTGAATTCCACCATTTCAATATCTTCCTCATTTACACTCTCAGAATCTCCTCCGCCATGGCCAAGGAGCTTTGGGTGATCCTCAGACTATAACAATTTCTCTTCATTAATACCGTCATTGATATATTTCATTAAAAAACCAACAGGCAATGAAAACTAAGTTGCTTCAAACCCTCCAATCCTCTCGTCAAATAAATTTTAAGAGTCATAAAGTAGCTCTTCTAGCATACTTTTACTATAAACAAAGCAGCTGTTTGAATATAAAGAAAAAAGTTTTGAATCAACTAATGTGCTCATCAATCAATCAAAATCTACCTGTTCCGACTTTTTACTTAGTACACATATTGGTTCGGACGTATCAAACAGGTTATGCAAATAAAGAACGACTAGTTTGAGGCATAGAAATAAAACTGTTACAATACCCGTATAAATACTAATGAAGGCGACCGAAAATTTCGATGAACATAAAAAACCTAAAAAAGAATAAACAAGCAATAAGCCTCAAATGATCTTAATAGATGAAAAGTGACCGTTATTTAAACCTCAATCAATTCCCGTCCAAATGAATCTAATTTTCTTTTAAATTAAAGAACAATACTTCGAGCATAAAATCATATCACGACAAACTACAAAAAAAATAGAAGTGCATATTTATTAGACAGCCCAAACTAACTGGCAAAATTTAATCAAATTCAGTGTCTTCAATCCTTCCTTTCTTGTAGAAAACGACTGTTATTTTAAAGAAATAATGGGTGTAGTGAAGAATAAGTAAAAATTTTTGGAGAAAAAAAAAACATTTACTTTCTCGCCAACCTTCTTCATAACGAAAAATTTTCCAAGAAAAAATTACGGCAAAAAAAATACCCATACTTTTTTTCAATATATAATATGACCTACCCAAGATCAAAGGGAACAGAAAGAGGAGCAGCCAAATATACAAATGTACTGTGTTGCAAAAAATAGTATAAGTTGGTTCATAGTACCATCCGCCAGTTAATGAAGCCCATATGCCTTGTCTTGCAATTTCTTTTAAGTGAGAACAGAATGTCATCTCACAACATTTCCTGAAAAATTATAGCAATCTTTAAAAAGTATTGAGAAAGAAATGCAAGAGAATAGTTAAAACTACTCAGATGAGCGTGATTATTACTTCAGAAAGTTATTTAAAAAAAAAAAAAAAAAAAACGTTCGACTAGTCACACAATGCATAAAAATGAAACGATCAATAGATAACCAAATCAGATATTCAGTTGATCGATGGACAGTGGCTGCAATACGTGACACTAAAAAAGGAAAAAAAACTAAACAGTTATAATGATTATATCAGTGGTAGTAATGGTAACAGTAGTAGAAGTTTTGGTAGTTATAGTTACATGAGGAGGAGGAGGAGTGTTAGTAGCTGTAAGCACAGTAGTAGTAATACGGATGATGTAAACAGATAAATAAAACGAAACAAACAAGTAAATTGTAAAATCACTCTGATATCCAAAGTGTGTAAAACTCTCTGAATAAAATTTATTTCTCATAAATCTGGATGATAAATTACTAATAACTTTTGGTTTGACAGAATTACCGCTGATTCAGCTAACAGCCAGAGCAACAGAAAAAAAAAAAAAAAAAAAAAAAAAAAAAAAA